CGACCCACTTGACCCGCTGCGTTAACAGTCACAACTGTTCGATTCCAATTAAACAAAACATTTTGGCTTCACTCACCACTGGGATTAATCAGCTTTGTTTGTCTGTTTTTTTTTTTACTTCTTATGTGTTTTTGTTGATGAACAGGTTCACCAACACAGACTGGGCTCCAGACTCAGTGGATTAAAAAAAAGAAAAAAAAAAGGCTGATATTTAAGATGTGAGCCAGGGTGTTATGAGGTGAAGACATGGGTGCAAATACACTGCATCTGGCCATTCAAGAACCAGAGCTGACATTAGCCAGCAGGATTCCTCAGCCTCCCTGAATCTGATATATGCCACATCCAACCCCAGCGCTTTCCATGTAAGGACGGTCTAAAGTGGGAAATCACTTTTCACGATACAGATCCCCAAAGGGGGGGCGCAGTGTGTGCGGACGTGCACGTGTGCAATAAAATGTTAATGTGCTTTTCTAGTCGTCTCAAGCTCCAAACGTGTCTTTTACAATAGTCAAGGGATCTAAAATAGTCGATTGATTTACGAATTACGAAGGTACAACTGACAGAAGCTGTGCTGCTTTAGGCCTAGACCGCTGGGAGAAGTCCCATGCTGCACTGGGCAATCTTTATCTCAACATTTTTTCTCTGTCTCTCAATTTTTAGATTTAGCTTTTTTCCCTCATTCAGAATCAGAATTAGAAACGTTTTTTTTTTTATTTGCCGAGGAATTTGTTTCTGGAATTCTCTTCCTACAATAAAACGGTGGCAATTTCTGCAATTCAATATTTAATATTCAATATTTTAATGGAAGAAAAAAAAAGGGATTCAAACCCTAGTGACACGGAGTAAGAAAAAAAAAGGGATTCAAACCCTAGCCTTCCTGTTAAATGGGTTGAAACCCACTGATGTTCTGAACCACAGATGAAGTGATCGTACAACGGCACGTTCTGTGTCAACAATAGCTTCATCCGACTTCGTGTTTAATGTTCAGAACCGGTGGCTAATCTAAACCCGACCCGGTGTGGAAAATGTGCGGCTGTAATTAACACAGGTGCTGAGAGACTGAGTCATGTTGCTGCTCTCCTCTTACTGTAGCTGCTGCACTTACAGAGCAGACTGCTGAGAGGCACAAACCTGCAGACTTCACTCAGCGCAGCTACTGCTAATATTAGCCACATACATGACAAACGTTATCCCATAAAGCTGCTGCTGCTGTTGCTTCATTTCTCTGTGGTGCAAGAGGTGAGTGCGTTTCAAAGGTTGATGGTTCAAGCCCAACCGGGGATGAGTGGCGGTGGGAGAAGGGGGTGGGTTCAGCCACTGGCTTAGGGGTTTAAAAGATCAGGCTTGTAATTGGACGCAACCAGGTTGAATCCCCAGCCTGGACAGAGATATGGCGTTGAGTGAACGCCAAAAAACGCCTGCGCTTTCTGGGCACCTGACCAGAAAATGAAGCCCACTGCTCTTGGTGTCTGGTATTAATCACAGGAAAGGAGGAGAGGGCCGGGGAGAGGGGGAGGTTTTTGCAGAGAATAATTTTGCTCACGGTATTAATGAAGTACAGAAAATATTATATTGTCAGAATAATCACATGGCACTGGTCGTCACGGAGGTGATGATGCAGTGACATCATACATCCCACTGCTGAAGAGTCAATCAAATAAATTCATTTATAATAATTTAACTTCTTCTGCTTAATCTTATTCAGGGTCACGGGGTCAAGGTGGCGCCAAACGCGCTGGCCAAAACTACCGTTCACACTCACATTCACACCTCTGGTCCGTTTCAACGTGAACAGTTTACCTAATCACTAATAAGCACATTTTTGGACGGTGGCAGGAAACTGACACACAGACCAGCTGTTAGAAGGTGGGCCTCGAACTGGTGACCTTTTTGCTGTAAGAACCGAGCATGAACCACCTCTGCACTGTGTGAGCATGTGAACACAAAATTGAAAAAAAAACTTTTATTAAATTGTGAAATTATTGTGATGTCGTTGAGAGTAAAGAAAACGCCGTCTGTTTAACTAAACATCGTTTGAGGGTTTGTCCTGCAGCATGAAGGGACTTTTAAAAAATGCAAATAAAAATCTTTACATCATAGTTGTATCCATGCATCATATAAAAATATATATCGTGTGTGTGTGTGGGTGTGTAGTCCTGGGTCAGGACAGTCAGCTAGGTGATAATGGAGTCAAATCTAAAATAGAGAGAGAAAAGAACGAGAAGTAAATTCCAAAAATTAAAAAATAAAAATATATATAAAATACATACATTTTAAACACGTGGTTCTCAAACTATGGTTTTTAAAAAAATGTTAATTGCAAAGTAATGATCTTATCAGGAATAAATTATTTTCTTCATATACTGGTGTGACACTGGTGAACAGTGGAGCTCATAAAAAATATAAAACGACTAAATACCTCTGAGAAGGGGAGGGGGGCGATCAGTCTTTATGAGATTACTCTGAGCCAGAGCGTCAGCCATCCAGGCGAGGGCGCTGCAGCAGTAGTCCAGCTGGGAGTTGAAGGAGAGTTTTGTGAGGGGGGGTGGGGGTGGAGAGGGGGTGAGACACACAAACAGGGATGAATGCTGAGCAGGCAAAGACAACAGCTGCAGAGGAACCAGATACTGCATGTACACACAGATACACAGTACTGACACTGAGCAGTACCTACTGTATCTGTTTAAATAAAAGATAAAGAACAGCACAAAGAGTTCCTTTAACTCTGACAAAAGAATGAAAACGTCACAATTTAAACGTCGTGAACCAGAGAGACTCGTTAATAACCGAACTAACTAACTAATATCCTTCTGCTGACATTTAAAACACTAAATGATCTGATGACACCAGAGTGTGTAACAGGTGATAAGTAGAACGGACAGAAGTCGTGCTGCTTTAGGCCTAGACTGCTGGGAGAACTCCCATGCTGCACAGGTCACACTCTGTCTCTCTCCTTTAGCTTTTTTTTCTCTCGTTCGCTTCCTCTGTGAGAAAACAGTAATTTATCCATTAAGCCATGGACTGCAGTACCAGTTCCATGAGTCAGGGGGCAGCATTGCTGGAAATGACAGCACATTGGTTTCATATTAAAACCATGTTGTATTTATTTTATTTTTTTCAAATACTAGCATGTGTAAAGGTCTGTTTCCTCTCCAGACTGGTCAGAAGTGTCAAGGCCATCGATTCAGTAGGACGTTCATATGTGAAGCGTCTCGAATGTCATCCGTCAAGTTCTTGACTTGAGTGTCATCATATTTCCTCCAGTCAACAGAGCAGGGCTAAATTTGCCCTGTTGTCACTCTGATCATGTTTGTGCCGCTGTTCAGTTCAACTCTCTGGTCATGTGACACCCGGTTCTACTGACCTTGGCTTTAAATTATTATCATTTTTACTGACCTCTGCCTCCACCAACCGCAGCCGTCTGTCGTGGTCACGAATCTCTGTCATTTGTTTCAGCACACTATCCACCCTACACACACACACACATACACACATGTTAGGTGTTTTTGGTGCAAATGTGTCTTATGATGAAAATACACACAGCACATAGAATATATGGAGGATTCTGGTTCTGGTTCTGGTTCTAGTGGCAGCCAAGTACAAGAAGGGACAGCAGAGAGAACTAACTTGACAGATGGTCTTTTTAGGTGTGTCCGTCTCCCTCAGCCTCTTACTCTGGGCCGAGAGGTAGTTTTCTTTCTGGATCGCCTCCCAGGTGTTGAGGCGACTCGCCTTCCTGCCTCTCAGCTCCAGAACTGGACAGAAGGTAAGCATGGTCAGGAGAGAGAGAGAGTGGAGGGTGGGAGGGTGCAGCTCCAGAACTGGACGGAAGGTAAGCATGGTCAGGAGGGAGAGAGAGTGGGTGAGGGTGAGAGGGTGAGGGACTGAGGAGTTCTGTGCTGTCGCTCACCGAAATGCGTGCTCTTCACTGAATCACTCACCGAAATGCGTGCTCTTCACTGAGGGGATTCTACGCACGTGTCTCTTGATGAAGAGATGCAGGTGTGAGATGATGATGAAGGGCGGAGCCAGGGAGGGCCGGGAGTGGTACTCCACGATCAGGTTGTAGCGCTGAAACTTCCAGTAGGTGTCACTGCGTTCCTGAACCTTAGAGAAGGTGTAGCTGTGGGCAGAGGTTTGACGTTCTTAGGAAAACATTTGTGGAAGAAGTGAAAATAAATAAATAAAAAAGAAAGGAAATCACCACAAAATGTATACGCTGCATCCGTTTTATCTTTTTATCTTTACCTGAACATAGCAATGAGAAGGTTGACCAGCACGATGTTGGTGAACAGCAGGTAGATAACCAGGAGGATGACCACCAGCCAGTTGGCGTAGGTGGAGATGCAGGGCTCGACTCCTTCCTGGATTTGAGTGATGTCGTTTGTACAGTTTGTGTCTTCCAGTTTGTCGGCTAAACAAAGGTTCAGACAACACAACATTATCAGTACTCTGTCCCTGAGTACTCACCATAATAATACACACAGTACACACAGTACAAACTGTGAGTACGGAGGTCATCTCTGGGAGGATAAACTTAAAAGCTGGTGTCAGTGGAAACACCACCCTCACCGTCCATTTCATTGATAGGTATTTGTCCAAAAATGTGCAGGTACGGTCGGTAGAACACCCTGCGGAAGATCCAATTAGGACGGGGGTCGTAGGAGTAGAGCAGCGCCTGATTGGCCACTCCGTAGGCCGCCAGCCACACCGCCAGGAAAAACAGGAAGAAGAAAACGTCCTTCATCTGGAGGAACGGGATGAAGAGAGATTTGTTGATGTTGACTGATCCTGACTCTGCTCCAAACTTTATTCATATTATTATTAATATTATTTAGAATATTTTCTGTGAGCCGACCATCTTTCCGACAATGATGATCTTGGGGCCGAGCTGTTTGTGAACAGCAAAGATGTGGATCAGACGCAGGGTGAAGACCAGGAAGTCTATGGCCATCACTGCTCGGCCAAAATTATACGACCAGTGAGTGAATCTGCAGAATGGAACAAGCACAAAATCAGAGGTGTTAAACTGTGGGTTGGTGGACCCCCAGATGGTCTGTATTGGTATTTTGGGAGTTTATAAGAAATGGAAAAATCTACAGCTAAAAATGGACATTCTGCCGTCAGTGTGAGACAAACGTCACCTGCAGCACAGAGCCAAAATGAAGAGAAGGATGGCCGTCAGATCACACTTGTTCCAAACATCCTGGATGTAGTTCCTTATCCTCTGGGCTATGAAGGTACTGCCGATGAAGAAGGTCTGAAGAAGAGAAGAACGTACAGAAATGGAACATAGAGAGTGTGATCCGTGGGCTGAACACGGCTGCTGTGAATCCAAGTTACCTGACGGATCTCCTCACAGACCAGGGTGAAAACCCAGAAGTAGAGCAGGAACTCCAGAGGTGCTGGTCCGTCAGGGGGCGGGGGCTTGAAGTCCACAAGCAGAACGTAGGCGAACAGGCAGAGGAAGAGGAAGTACATGAGGACGTTCCCCAGGAAGGAGGTGACAGGAGAAAACCAGAACTGTCTCCACCTCGACACCAAAAACGGCCTCCTGGACTTGGAAGGTGAAGAACCTGGAAGAAGACAAACGAATGAAGTGAAAACATGATGATGATTTGCCAAGATTTTTAATTTAAATTCAAGACTAAGCTAGTGGGAAAAAAAATAAAAACACAGATTCATATTTTCAAGTTAGCAGCTGAAGAAGATTCACCTCTGGGGTTCTCCTTCAACTGCCTCAGCTCTTCAGCATCTTCCTCACTACAACAGCAGACACAAATGTCAGGGAGTTTTTTTTTAAACTGACAAATAACATAAATAAATAAATAAACAGAACTGTGTTATTTAAACATGTAGAATTCATAATTTTTAAATATTTGCTTTTACTTTTGAATGATGTCAGCCAGTGAGAAGACGGTGGCGTCATTTCCTTCCAGACTGTCAGTGTCTCTGCCCTGAAAAACCTCCGACTTCACGTCCTCCTCCGACTCCCTGTGATGTCATCACACACACACAGTCAAACATCTCTTTGCCCTCACTAACCACTGAACAGGATGCTGTACTTTTTTTTCCCTCACTACCCTTTTATTTTGAACTCAAAGGGAGATAGGAGCTCATGGGCTGTTGCTGCCCCCTGTGGTCAATTTGTGTCACATCAACGTCAACAGTAAATAACGTCAAACATTGTGGCAAATTGTTGTAAATGAATTTTTTTTAAACTAATTTTGTGATATATATTTCAAGATATAAAATGATACTAATGGATACAAATTCATCACCCATCCTGTACATCCACAGTGAGGCAGCACGGACCTGAATTTGATGAGATTGGTGTAGAGGAGGGGGGGCAGGAAGAAGGTGAGGACCAGCTTCCAGACCTCGGTGTTTCTCTCCATGTCTCCCCACCAGATCTGAGAGAGCAGAGACTGCAACACAACACAACTTTACTGTTCAATCGCTGACATGACTTCTTCATCTCTGTCGCCCTCTGCTGTCTGCTTTTTCACATGTCGGACAGAACTATTACCTGAACTCCGTCGTGACTGAAGAAGAGGCGAGCATCTGCAGCAGTGGACATCTGCAGACAGGTGGCGCCGCTCCACACTGATGACTTCCTCACCAGAAGGGTGAAGGCTCGACTCTCGCTGTTCTGGTAACACTCGCTGAAGACGTCTGAAAAAAAAGGAGGAGAGAGAAGTTTGACTTTCTTTTCCAGCTTCACTTATTTAAATATGAATTCAACTCTCTGCCATAATTAATTAATGATAATTAAAGTTTCACATCCAGATGTATGGATCAGAGCGGCTGTTGAAACACTCACCCTGAGCCAGGTTCTCAAACATCTGAGCCAGTTCCTTCATCGCCAACTTGCTCTCAGTCTCACTCTCCAGTTTGGACAGTTCTCTCAGCATCTTACAGGCACCAAGAGCGCTGAGCACAGGCTCCCCAGCCTGACACACACATCCATGCACAAACACAACAAGTGATATTGTGTATGAGCCCATCATATTAAACCAGCTCCTCATACTGAATGAAAATGTCCAGTCATAAAAAGGCCGCACGGTGGTCAAGTGGTTATTGATCTTGCCTTACAGTAGGAAGGTCACCAGTTTGATTCCGAGCTCTCTGGGTGTGTGCGGTAACTTGAACTGTAATGAAAATTTTTAATTGCCATAAAATGTCTCACCATTTCCCAGAAGTACAGCGCCATCTCCCTGCGGTTTTGCAGGACGGCCCAGACGAACAGGGCCGCCCAGGGTGAGAGGCAGCGCTGTTTCCGGTACAAACACTCTCCTAACAGCATTTTATTGACTTGCTGAGGAGGACAAGACCAGACAGGCAACAGACCAGGTTAGGTTTGTGGTTCAACTCCCCCAAACCCAGACTCTCATCAGTTTCCACAGACCAATAATGATCAATGTTTACGTGTATCTTGTTCAACATGGCAGTCAAAACATCCACCACTGCATCAGCTGCTGACAGTCAGAGTTCACTGACCTTCAGAGTCCTCCTGTTGCTGGTGCTGGGGTCCAAGCCCAGAGATGCATAGTAGAAAGGCTGACAAACATCAGCCATCAGGTCCCAGAGGAGGCGGGACACCTGAGGCATTCGTTAAAATATAAAAACACAGATTATACAGTTATTATTACAGCTGCGATGACACAGCAGTATCAGTGAATCTGTCCCCCCCCCCATTTCCGACCCAGCCACGCCCTGCCTCTCACTCAGGTGCCTCTGCAGCAGCGTGTAGGCCAGTGAGCTGTCGGACAACGAGCGGTACAAGCTCTCCAGACGCTGGTAGGTCAGGTAGTCCAGGATGTTCAGGCCATTCTCACAAAAGAGACGGACAAACTGGGGCTTGTCATTGACCAGTGCATCTGTCATGGAGTCCTCCAGGTCCTCGTACTGGAAACATCCACCACAGACTTAACCCAATGCTGGATGGACTACAGTTTTTTTAATTAAATTCGTTGTTGTGTTCTTTCTGTTCCAGAAGTTCAAGTCTTTCACATTTTAAGACTTTTTTAAGCAAAAAACTTACAAGAGCGACGCTCGATTCAATCCTTACAGGATAAACGCCACCTGCTGCTACTCTGTAGAACTACATCAGGTTGGTCAGTTGACTCTTACCTTCCACTGGACGTCTCCGTTGAAGAGCTCTGTTTTGGCGATGTCCACACGGTTCCACGCAACGGCCAGTTTCAGTTCTTCGGTGTATTCGCTGGCTTCACTGCACACACGTTTACTAGCTTTTTGTACAAACACACACACACACACATATACGGTGATGTATATACGTTCTACACGTAGTAACAACAGTAGAAGCTACTTGACAACAAAAACAAGGAACACTTTTAGTCACAGACTTTTTTTAAACACACAAAACATTTAAACCAGAAATTACAATTTATTAGCTCAAGTCAAAGAAGAGGAGAATTCTGGGAAAACTGACCAGACATGATGAGATAGAACAACCAGATATGGAAGATCTACTGAGCTCCTACTCACCTCTGACCAGAGCTCTGAGGAGAATGGTGTCAAAGTCATCGGAACCTTCCTGTTCCCCGTGGAAAACAGTGATGAGGTCTCTGTTCTGATAAATACTCAGAGCCTAAAAACCACGACATGAACAGATCATTTAGCCCTTTAATAAAATAAAACAAGAATTTAAACTTTATTGAGCTAACAGCTGGGAAAGTCTTGTCGTAACAGCAGATCTGAACCAAGTATATGGTTCCTCTGGAAATCGAACCCACGACTACCTGCTCTCTGCGTGCTAACCACTGCACTATGGAACCACTATGTGTTAAGTTTTAAGTTTTAATATTTATTTGCATTTTACATCTAAAGACTAATTTTTGAAATGGGTTTGCAAAATGTACTCAGGTGCGACTACATATTATGTCGTATATATTAAAAAATATCATTTCACATGTTTGTTATTTTCACCCTGACAGCCGCTAGAGGGCACTCTAGGCTTGTATACCAGTATCTGCTACTCCTGTACCACTGAACATTTACACGTTAGTTATTTTGACACTGACAGCCGCTAGAGGGCACTCTAGCTGGCTGGTGCATCTTATAGTGACTTGTATATGTTTTTTCTTCTTCATTGTGCATTTTCTGGATGGTTTAGTGTTTCAGAAACATGCTGCTGTTGTTGTTGGTGACATGAGTAGGAAGTGCATCTTTTCTTTGTGTGCTGTTCGACTCACAGTGTCCACCAGTTTCTCCTGATCACTTTCACCGGGGAAGTGTTTCCCCAGCTTTTCACGGACCCTGTCACGCTGCTCGGTATTCAGGGGCTGAGCTGTGTCACCGTCTGCTGAAGGAGAGGTGGGGCTGAGTGGAACAGTGGAGAGACTGTCCAGAATCTCGCTGATGAAGTCTGCAGCTGGTCCAGAACCGGCCAGAACCAACCAGGGCGTGGATTTCTTCAGAGAGGAATCCAGTCTCTAAAACAAGAGGAAATTAAATGAAAGTCAGAGAAGAAAGACGGGATGTCAGCCAAATAAACAGATGAAATAAAACGTGCACAGAAGAAATGACTCACCTCCAGCATTTTAGCCTCTCCAGAGATGAGCAGACACAGCACTGGGATTTCAATATTGCCACTACCTGTCGATGCCGTGACATAAAACATAATAAACAGGAAAACATTCAAAAATCTTCTAACCCTGTGTGTCATAGATAATTTAAGTTTAATCATTTTATAATATTTATAAAAACATTGTTTATATGTGTAATAACTGGACTCCATGGTAAAGATCTACATCCTGTAGATAAAAACAATATATATCTACACTATATATCAGTTACCAAATGTTTGTATCCTCTTATCTCCATCTTACCCCAAATGCCCGTCCGCTGATGGGAAATGTAGTCCTCTAGTGCTGCACGGAAGGCTGTTTCTCCCCCGCGTCGGCCAACGCTCCCGTCGTCCACCAGGAGAAAAACCTGACAGTTGTTGTCCAGGCAGCAGGAGTCACGGGACGTGTTCTGGACGTAGTATCGAGCAGGAAAACTGCCCTGTAAAAAAAAAACCAAACACACGTCGTTGTCATTTATGCTGTTTGTTAAGAGAAACAAAAAAAAACGCAGCCTCTATGTTTTTTTTTTATATCAATATGTATAATTTAAAGAATGGACAAAGATGTAAAGTTCAGCACCCTGGACAGTGCCTGGTTATAAGTACTGTTTACCAATGTGTAAAAAGGAATGATTTCATTCAGTGATAGAAACATGCATGAGTCTCCGTCTCTGTCAACGTCATGTTACTGTGAACCTGATGAGAAATTATAAAAACACAAAGAACCGATTATTCCGGACGACCAAACGCTGCTCTGGTACCTTTGGGTTGACCAGTTGCTGTCTGTTGTGCACGAGGCCCCAGGGGGCCATTCCGACTGCGATGACTTTCTTTTGAGAAACAGCTGGCGCTGCGGCAGAGTGGTCCCTCACTGCCTCACCCACGCAGCGGGACTCACCCTCCCTCAGACCCCCGGTCAAGATCCAGGCCCCTGGAGATGAGAACTTAAATAAACTTAAATGGAAACAACAACATAAAACAATTTCCTTTGGCAAGAAAAACTGGTTTCAAGAAAACCTCAACAAACAAATAAAAACTCAACATTTAATGATAATTAAAAACACCACAACGATTCCCTAATGATCAGCACCAAACAGTAACAGGTTTTAAAATGTCATTTGATTTGGAATAAAACAAAATAACTCTGTAATAAATAATGTCTGATTTTATTGACGTGATGTTTCACAACTTTTATTTGATTTTTTTTGTTCACCTGATCTTTTCCTGTTAATTTAACTTCAGATCAGAGACGTCCGAGGACTCCGGCGGGTCGTACCTGTGCTCTGTGCAGCTCTGACCAGACCGTTCCTCAGGATCTCTCTCACCCAGCTCTTGATTTTTCCGTGGCCTTCACCCCCCACCACAGACACAACCAGGTTAGGCGAGGGCAGGCCCCAGTGAGTTGTCATCAGGGTGTAGACGATCTGCGGTGACGTGTCACATGACAGACGCAGGAACTGATTAAAAGGGAAAAAGCAGAAAAAAACAATTGTGATATTTGCGTAACATTCGTTTTAAAAGTTTCAGACATGTATTCAAACCTTTAAAACTCAATGTTAGTGGCCGTTTATCCAGTATTTATTCACAGGTATAAATACAAAGCCCTTGTTTGTTTATGCGTGTGTTGATAGTGTGAAACCAGTGCAGCCTGTTGTTCTCCATTGTTGCCCATTTAGGAAGTTCTGGTTCTTGGAATTTAGTAATCTTACCATGACTTCAACAGCAGCTCATGTCATTACCTGTCCGCAGCAGGTGTGTGTGTGTGTGTGTGTGACTCCCTGGGGTAAATCTTCATTCTGTAAAGCTGCTATTGTCCACACCGGTTTTACCTGAAACATCCTGTGTTCCAGGTAAAGTATCAGGAGTTGTCACATGACCTGTAAATAACACCCACGTCCACTCAGTCTCCTACAGTTGAAGGAACAGTCCAGATACAAGCTGATCACCGATTCACCGAGTTTAAAATTCATTCACGTTCACAACCGCAGGTGTGAATAGATGTAAATGTCTTGGTTCTGTCCAGGCTCCAACTCTAAGCTGTTCTGTGACTGAGATGAAGTCAAGTTTGTTTTTGGTTTTCATTTATTTATTTAGTTTTAACTGTGGAAACCTGTGTGTGTGTGTATGTGATTGTGTGGTTTGGTGTGTGTGTGTGTGTGTCTCACATGACTGTGCCTTCGTCCAGCTCCAGCAAACTGCACCTCTCCATAAGCGTCGGTGGCGTACTCTGATGAGTGCTGCCTGCTGCTCCACTGGGTGACGATGGCTGAGCCAAAGTAGTCGCCCGTGGCCAAGGAGTTGTGCACCTCCTGTACACCCCCACACTGACACAACGCCCCATTACTGACACACACACACACACAGAGAGAAGAAACAGAAACTTGAAGACACCATGTGACTACTGTGTATATAACACAGAAAAAACAGTCTGTGTGTATATAACACAGAAAAAACAGTGATGTGGTTCTGAGGGGGGTTGGGGGATGATGGGGGTGTTCACCTGAAGGAGTCTTCAACAAAGGTGGTGCACACTCGCTTCTTGATGATCTTTGGAATCCAGCTCTGGGTGCAGAAAAGCATCATGGGAGAAAGACGACATCACAAACACGACGATGAGTTCAGGGTACCACAAGAGATAATAAAAATGCGCAAATATGACCCACGGGCCACGATTTGAGGACCGCTGGTCTGTATTAATGAGAGTGTGTGTGTGTTCTGTTCCTTGATCTGCGCTTCTGTGTTTACATTTAAAACCAACTGATGTAAATGAAGCCACAGGTTGAGAAAAACGTCAGAGAATATCTGTCTGTCAGATACCTTGAAACAACACACACTTCCTGACCATTCCCTATTGGTTAGTTACCAGTACACCAAGGCACCTGAAGCTGATAAGCCACTCCCCTTTATTGGCAATAAATTGCTGTGTTACTCCTTGTTTGGAGAGTTAGTTTTTGTTGCCGTTACTTCTGCTCTGGCGCTAATTGCTGATTGCTGTAAATCTCCAGATACCGGCATGTTTCCGACACCTATAAACCACTTTTGTATCAGTGAAGTGATTTTCAACAAACTTTTCAGCCAACTTCCTTTTTCGCTGAGAAAGTAAAACAAATCTCTCCAGTGAAGGACTGTGGCAAAACGGTCAAAACTGCCATTACATCCAACAGAACATCTTCACGTCCTCCGGCTGGTTTCTCTGTCATTTCTCTCAGGGATAAACAAACGATTGTCTTTGGGTCTATCTTCCTGGAATGTCAGGGACCGTGTGTAGGTCATGAGGGCAGTGCTGCTTCTATGAGTGGCTGTTGGGGCAGGAATGTATTTTGGGATATTCACTGAGGATTATCACAGCAGAGGACCCAGAGACAGAAAGGAGAGGAAACATGATCAGGGATCAGCTGTTTCAAACTGATTCTCCTGGCTGTGCGTCTGCTCAAGGGCGGCTGCCCCGATAGAGCAAAACAGCGGAAGATTATTTCATCCTGTTTGTTCTGCTTGCAGAGAGACAACATCTCCACTCAACCACTGCTTGGTGCCGGAGTTCTGGAGCTGGCATTTCAGAAAAAAAAAGAAAAGAAAAAAGAAGAGGCAAAAATAATGACAGAAACGCTGAAGGGTAAATCAATGGAACTTTGGATTTTTTGCAGAGATCAGATGCATGAATCTGCATGATGTCAATTAAAGAGTCAAGCCGTATAATTCCTAATAAAGGTGCACTGGCTGTACATCAGAATTCCACTTAACCACACGAAGCTGAAGAATGCCTTTAAGAATGCTTCACTACAGTCTGAGGTATTTTACCCTGAGGACTTCCACATGTCTCCACAAGCACGGCAGCAACCTGACATCTGCGATAAGATCCGACACAGGCCTCGCAGTTTTGTCCAAAAAATATATTTGAATCATTCAGAAACTTTGCTTGTTACCTTTGCAGGAGGTGTAGACGAAGAAGAAAACTTCAAAACAAACTCAACAACAACAGGATTCTTCTCCTCTGTGACATGATTTTCTTGTCAGTCCATATTTGTTGAAACAGTGTGTGTGTGTGTGTGTGTGAACACACCTGATCTTTCTCTTTCTTACTCCCACCTTTCCCAGCGTCCCTCTCTCTCTCCAGTTCATCCATCCTGCTCGTCCTCCACACATCTGTCAGACTCCCTCACTCTTCCACTCTGTCCTTTGCTGGGTGGCCACGCCCACCCTTGACGTTACGTCAGTCGTTGTTGTTGTCACCATTATGACTCAACTACTTGTTCGTCTCTTTACTCTCGATTAAACTCGGAACTTCCTGACGACTCAAACCCATTGGTTCCGGTCAGACCCCCGCCCCAACCATGTCCCTTCAGGAGCTCCGTAAAGGAAGTCCGAGCGGTATTGCTTTTCCGAAATGAAAATCGGCGACATTTTCGATGCGACGGTGAAAAGTCATTAAATAATATCATTATGAAATAAAAACGGGAAAAAGCAGCTTTTAATGAATTTTGACAACCTGTTATTGCCAAACAGTTTCTGCCTTTCCGCACTGTTCTCCTACTCTTTTCTTCTTCACTCGACTTTTTTTCCCGCTCCTAGTTTGTTGTCGTTGACGCAGCAACAAACGTTGTATGACGTCTGTACGTCATACGTCGTCGTCTCTGGCGGTGCGTTTACTGGCTATCGTGATAACTGGTGTTTAGGTCTGCGCACGATTTTCCTATTTACTGTCGAAATCGCGGACAGCTTTAAGCCGGGACAAGTCAGCCAAAGCGGGGACTGTCCCCGAAAATGGTGGCCGTATGGTCTTCTGATTTTCAACCGCATTTACATTAAAAATGCAGCGTTGTAAGGACACGCCTCTGTGGTCAACTGTCAGTGACGGTGAATAAATCAAACATCCATCAACTTGTATTGCCCGATTTTCATTGGACGGAGCTTATAGAGTGGCACTTGAAGTGTTGGACATCTCAGCACATTTCAAGATATTGGTGTGGAAATGTTGGCAGGAAATCCGCAGGAGACAAATCTCAGAGAAAAAAAATAGTTCACACAGAGTCACAGACGTTTGTTTCAAGTTTAATTCTTTTATTAAAAAAAAAAGCAGCAGACAAAACCAAAATACAAAAGAAAATTGAAGTGTTAGCCGGAGCTAGCGGTGCAGAACAGCAGGTGTCTGAAGAATAGAACTCAACACCTTGTGGTACTGGTGATGTTTTTTGTTTTTAATATGTGGGGAAACAGAACAACAGCCCGTGTTAAAGCAGCAGCTGCAGATCATGACGAAGGTCGACCACAAAGGTCCACAGCTCGACACTCAAGTCTACGTTCACGTCAAACGTGTAAAACGTCTGCAGCTGGACTGAACTGGACTTTAACCACTAAGTGTTTCCACGTTCTCACTGAACCTGCACGCTGGACAGTCAAATTTACAGAAGAGTCTCTCACACACACACACACACACACATTTACAGAAGAGTCTCTCTCACACACACACACACATTCATACAAGTCGATGGTCTACACTGAATTCCCACAATGCAATGCACACAGGAAACAGTGAAGCTGCAGATGCTCATGTCATCCCCCCCCATCTATGGTAAAGTAGAAAAGACAGTTCGTGACCTCGCACATATTGCACAAATTCACTTGTTTGTTACAAATGCTATGTTGCTATGAGTTCAACAGAGAAGGTGACGGGAGTCAGTAAAGCAGTATGGCTTCCAGTCTCTACAGCGCCCCCTACTGTCACCAGTGCAGCACTGAATAAAACTACATGGACGTCTTACTGTTGGAGGCATCATAAAAGTCCACTGTTACCCCGGCTCACGTTTTTTTAAACAATAGTTGAGGAGTAAGGGCTTTAAAATCTACACACATCCAACAATCCATGCACCAACAGGTTCAACCAAATCTAAATAAAGGTCAGATCATGGACAAACATGTTCTGACCCAAACCATGGACTAGAGCAGTAACATGGAGCAGACATGTAGACATGTCAACGCAGACGCTCAGATGTGGAGTTTGTGTTTGGATTTGAAAGAGAAAAAGAATCAAGATGTTGCACACAAACACCTAAGCACAAGTGTAACTGCATGTCTGTTAATTGCGACTGCATAATTAGTTACCACGACAACATAGTCTGACTCCAACAAAGGAAAAAAAAAACCTATTAAATACTGTTATTGTTTGGAGACGGAAAAAGAAGAAACCAAAAAAAGACAATCTTTAAAATGTTGCTGCACAGGAACATCCAACTTTTATATGGACTCCAGGTCAAAGTGAATTTTCATTCTATCACCACAGGGAGGCAGACTAACGCATCCTGTACTCTGATGTCTTCGACACCTCACACAGTTGACCCTTGAAGTCGATGTCTACCGTGAAGTCCAGGTCTCTCTGTAACACAGTAGGAGAAGGAGGAGTGAGGAGACCGACACAGCAGAAGGGTTCCATCCTTCAAACACAGTCAGATGCAGCTGTACTTACATTGTTCTTGACGTTTGGCTTCATGCTGATTGTGCCAAAGATCTCCTCCCCAGTCTTCACTGTCAGGTAGTCGTCCAGGTAGAAGACCGTCTGCTTCCAGTGGGTGTAGGGAGACTCTGGGCCTGAGGACATTAAAGGTCAGTCAGTGTTCAAAGTAACAATTGTCCTGCGAGTTTGACAAATGGAAAATGTGAAGATACCCACAATTACCATTTAATCTGTGACACAGCACGACTGCCTGAAGAACATATTTGACATATTGACATAACAGGCTAACAAATTCAACAAGCTCCTGAACTTCTTTCTCATGACTGAATCCACTTATCCTCGGGTGTCACTTCTAAACAATTCCTGAGCATCAGTTCCAGTTAGTACCACAAAGTTGTTGTTTTCTTCTTCTGCCGCTTCTGCCATTAACGTTGTGACTGAATAATTTATCATCTGCAGTTTAATTTCCTGTGGCTTTTTCTTGGTCACATTTTTTGTTTTCTCTATGGGAGTCTTTATGCTTTAGTCATTTTTCAGAGGCACATTAGCAGCATTCGGTCTTCAGGAGTGCAGATGATGCCCTCTAGTGGCCATAGATGACTTGCTATGTGTGACTTGAAGCCAACAGTAAATATTATTAGACTAGATTAACAGGACAGTGTGAAGCATGTGTGCCCCCTACCCCCGCCTCTCATGACAGAGGAGAGCAGACTCACTTGTGGAGAAGCCAGTCCTCTTGTGGCAGCGGGTAAACTCTATGTTGAAGTACGTGACCAAAGCATGGATGTAGTCGTTCCTCTTCACCTGCAGGCAGAACGGTGAGGTGAAGGTCAGGTCCTCCGCCTTCACTGTGTAGATGTCCACCTCCTGCAAAGACAACCAGAGTTAAACTCCCTGAAGACACACACACACACACACTTCAGCAACAAGTGCTTCTGATACACCCACCTTGATGAGACAAGCACTAGTGACCAGCTGTTTGGGGTCCACCACATCAACCAGGGGTTCCTTGATGGCCACCTCCTTGATGCAGGACATGTCGAAGCCGTACACGTTCTCCCACCCTGACAGAAACAAAACATACTTTGTTAGCTTGACCAATACTTCAGTCAGTACTCCATGTTGTGCTTAGAACAGCTGAACACAGGAGAGCTGGGACCGGGTGTATTTCTTTGGTCACCACAAGAGGGCAGACTTCTAAGCCACAGATCATAAACTTTGTGAAGTCCATACACTGACTGAAAAAAAAGTGCTGATTTAGGGCTTTTTTTATTATAACTAGTTTCATTAATGAGAATTTTTTTCTTCTTCATGTTTTAAGTTTGTTTTTTTTAACAACTAGATCGTCACCAGACTGTAATGAAGACTGCTGGTTTGGTTCAGTAGAGTGGACTCACAGTGGATAAGATAATTAATTTTTTCCTTTGTGTTTTAAGTTTGTTTCTTAACAACCAGATCATCATCACCAGACTGTAATGAAAACTGCTGGTTTGGTTCAGTAGAGTGGACTCACAGTGGATTTTGTAGTCCTTGTACTGTCTGTCTTCAATGGCAGTGACGTAGAGCGTCGCTCTGTCAGGGAAAATGAGTCCATCTGGTTTCTGCCAGAGGGTGAGAGAAAATAAAGAAGTCAACACTACTGACAGTCACATTTTGTTCTCATTTCTGTCCCTGATTGAAGCAGAAAGACAGTTCCATCCATTCCATATGTCTGAGAGACCTACCAGCCACTTGTCTCTGGCATAGAGGACTGTGTTCAGCATGGACTCGTAAAACAGACAGTAACCCATCCACTCTGAAATGATGATGTCCACTCCTTCCACCGGCAGGTCCACCTCCTCCACCTTCCCCTTAATGATGGTCACAACTGCAAGACACAAAAGTGAGACATGAAGCTGCAGCCAGACATATCCTCCGACCCAGTCATCAACCAGAGAACTGTCTCGTCACGGTCAAACACCCACCATTGTCCATCTTGTTGGCCTTGACAATTTTGATGGCGTAGTCTGAGATGCTGCTGCACTCGATCTGGAAAAGAAAAAAAAAAAGAACATTGACATCATTCAAACTGTGGGTTGTCAGTTCAACTCCAGTCTATACATTTAAGAAATGCAGACTTGTTTTCTGTTAACAGACATTAGGCATTATTTGAACATTTTAAATCATGGTTTTCACCATCTTTTAATCACTAATAATTAAATCAGTCTAAATAAAAACTGATTTGACTCCAGCTGCAATATCTGACCAGAAGCTCGTCACTTTGCAGTGCGGAGGTTCTGTACACATGGATCTGGGTGACGCCAACTACTTTTCTCAGCCACATCCCATTTGACTGCAGTACAAAGAACAGGTGGACTAGTTCTGGTGAGGTATTTACTTACCCCGATCACCTTCTTGGCTCCAGCCTTAGCAGCAAACATACAGAGGATGCCAGTTCCACTGCCCACATCCAACACCACTTTGTCCTTAAACAAGTGCTTGTTGTGGAACATGGAATTGCGGTAGGTCAGTGTTCGAACCTCGTCTTTCAGCATCTCCTGCAGGGTCAGAAAAAGGGTATTTAAAAACACAGGAGCAGCAACAGCAGAGGGGCAACAAAGACCATAAACCCTGAAAACACTACAGCAGCGCAAACTGCAAAATAAATACCTCATGGATGCCAAAGTGGGCGTAGGAGTCAAAGTAGTAGTCTTTGGACGTCATGTCCTCAGCTGCAGGCTTGGCTGAACTTTCCCCCTGAGAAACCTGAGAAAAACATTCACAGTCAGGGTGAAGTCGGTGAGGCAGAGACTTCACAGAGAGAATGGAACATCACTGTACACAAACAGGCTCAGCTGACGCTCTGCACAAATGCTTGATCCCTACAGGTGACCATGTGTTCTGAGAACCACGTTCTACATATATAGAGAGTTCCTCCTTTGTCGAACATCTCTCATCAGCACATGCTTAGATGGTTCCTCTGACCTGGTCTTCTCTAATCCATCTCAGACGACTGTTTTATAAAAAGTGTCGACTCTCTCTCCACCTCAGACTACTGTTTTATAAAAAGTGTCGACTCTCTCCAGATCCTACATCATAGCACATCTCACTCCAGTTTCACCAACCAAGCTAGTCCAGTCAGCAACTAAATGTTTAAAAACAATTGTTGTGTTGTAGTGTTGTGTGACCAGCCACCTTCAAACAGTCTATTATCCCTCAGTAAGTGTGTCTTGTAACATCACTCTTCTACAAGACCCCGCATCTTAAACAATAAAAAACTTTCAAATTTTCAGCTATAAAATCACGCAGCAACAGAGGTCTTTAACACCAATTACAGAAGAATTAAAAATAATAAGTTTCTCTTCGCCGAGTTGTTAAAACTTTAACGTCAGTTACAAAGAGCTGCCGAACACAAAGAGCGACGGAGCAGCACAATGAACGGGTGAACAGATGTATGAATGAATGGAGCGATGGATGAATGAAGCACATGGTTGAAAACATGGCCTTTGTCCACGTGAAACCGCACATCTAAGTCCATCTCTCCCGCATCTTATATATGAGTAAAGGCTGGAGTTTTTGTTGAATGACTGAGAGCAGAATGTGTAACGGACCCATAATGACTGATGGAAAAAGACAACGGACAAAAGAAATCTATCGAAAAAAAAATTACGACTTGAATAAATAAAATAACTTATGAGCACTATATTGATAGTCATTGATTTAAAAAAACAATAACAGTAAATGTGCGTCCACCGCTGAGCAGCGGCAGCGGGAGAAAAGGCTAACAGTGCCGATGCTCCTGCTAACTAGCAGAGAGGCTAACAGCTAACCATGCGGTCTTATGAACACACGCTGTCGGCCGCAAAAACACCCTCAAGTAACCCAAGGTTAAAAAAAACACAGACGAGAGCATTCTGTTTAGGTGTCCATTACAAACGCCACAACAACAACGTCTGGACTCAGGGCACTGGGTTTAATTCTCTATGCGACACTTTAATTGGCAAACGCTTTATCCCCGTCACGTTTGGAAAACTAAAATGGATGCGCCCTCAGCGCGTTTTTCTAAAAATAAGATGAAACGAATCAGTGGCGACAGTACAAGACAACGTTTTTTACTATTACCGGCAAATTCGATACATGTGAAACTAAAACAGAACATAAAAGTCTGACTGATGCCCTGTAACGGCTACTCACCTCCATCCTCTCTGCTGTCGCGGCCATTTCGATTTGCAGCCCGGATGTGAGAGAATACATGGGTTGCCAGGTATGAATACTGACAACCAGAGCGACGGCAACAAAGTCAGTTCAAAAAGGGGAAAGCGATTTCATATTCCGAACTCAATAACAAACGGCTGTTATAAAAACAAGCAATTCTATCACGGCTAAAAGACGTGTCAGGTCGTACTGTCAAAAGTTTTAAAATGTATTTTAACATTGAATTATTAGACAAAAGGTTTTACTTACTTATAAAACAGTTGATGCGTGATGGAAATTGAAATTTATTTCAGGAATATATTTGTTTCATGGAGTTCATGGAGTACACTTGGAGTGCATAATCCTCGAACCTAATGGTTTGTGTGAGATCGTGTGTAGTTACGACTACCTTGTCCGGCTATTCTGCTATTAAGCAGAATACTGTACAACACACATGGATCTACGGTCTATTGAGATGTTATTTGCACTACGAACTAAAACATTAGCGGGGAATCCTCCAACCTGGCAACCCATGCATGTGCTCCTCCTTTGTTCCGACGCGTTAACTTGGTCCCGCCCACGAAGCAGTGTTTTTTTTTTTCAAAGTAACTATTGAATAATAGAAAAGGAAATTATGTAAGAGTAGTTTTTCAAAAGGTTCATGATCTGCAATTATTAGACTGTATAACAAATAAAAATACTCTAACATCAATAGAGAAGCATACTTATATCAAATATATTGTTATAAACAGTAAGTTTTTACAACAGTAAAAACAATTAATTTCCCACAAAATACAAAAATAACAATAAAAAAAATCTTAAAAAAAGGTTTTTAGCATTAGTTTTTAATTCTCCAGAAATAAAAACTCACAACAGCAGTTAAAATTGAATTTATTTGCAACAATAAAACTCATAAACAGCAAGTCAAAATAATTACATAATTAAATAATTGTTTCAATAATCATCTATCTGAGATCACGTATACAAATATTCAAAAATTGTCAAGGTCATCAAAGGCTGGCGATCGACATCACCGCTCCACTGTCAGACTCCACACCAATAAGTCTTCATTATTCTCTATAGTTAAGACTGATGACTAGTTAAGACACAACAAACTCAGCCTGTGAATAATGTTTATTATTTACATTAGGTTGAACGGCTAATTGACTGAGTTAACAGGATTAAAACTCCTACACGTTCCTCAGACTTGACTACAGGCTTCCGGGAACATTAACTGTTTTTCTCCTTTTCTGTGTTTGAATCACAGCAACTCCTTTTACCCTGGGATACAGCAACGTCCCAAAAAAAAGAAGGCAGGAAAAGTAACAAAATTAGTCATTTTTATATACTCAATAAGTTTCCATTTTTTCGTCCATGCTACTGCAACTTAAACAAGAAACCATGCAGTCCTGTCGTTACTGTGATATTAATGTCTCTGCTTGAGAATAACCACCTTTAGAGGGCAGTGATGAGTAATTCTAAGAGCTGTGTCCAAATTCAGGTGCTGTGTTTTCTGTCGGCTCTAATGTAAACCACAGGTCTTAAATGACCGTCTGGTAAATGGCACACAAAGTCACTACAGAGCTGCAAACAGCTGAACACAAATATATAATGTCTAACATTGTTATCAAAAATATAAAGATTCATGGTCCCCTGGCTTCAGCACACATTTACATTAACATGTACGACTGCAGCAGCTCCTGCTCAAGTAACCAACGTTTGCCTAAGAAAAAAAAACAAAAAGTCAGTTCTGAGGTATGTTCAGATTTGGAGGTTCTTACAACGCTGTCATGTGGAATTTAACCGACGCAGGCTGAATATGGACACACATCCAAATGCTACAGGAAAAGTGTTAAGTCTGTGTTTTGAACTGTAGAATGACCCTGACAGTGGATGCGGTGATCTGAGAGAAACAATAACACACCAACATGCAGACACCAAGTCCACTAAAACACACCGAGCGCCCTGAATGTAAGGACGACAGGCTGAGAAGTCATTCCTTTTAAGGTCAACACAGATTAGAGCCTAAAGACTAACAAACACTGAGTGACATGCAGGCTGCAGTTCCAGCTGTGGCCACACACCTGGACAGATCTGAGTTCACATCTGAACACAGTGGTTGGAGTTGACGTGGATGGATTTGGACTTTTTTGTCTCAGGAGCTTCGTCCTCATCTCTCCCCCCAAACAGGACAGATCACCCTGGACTTTACTCTGGTTCGTATCAGGTGTAGATGAATTTAAAAGTAAACAATGTCGACATGTGAACGCTGCTGGACTCATTTTTATTCTTCTCTTATTCTTCTTCTAGGCTTTTATATAAACGTGTAGTGTGTGTGTGTGTGTGAGGGGCAGGCCTTAGTGACCTTTGACCTTTTAGATTCACTAAGAATCGGATTTAGATTGACACCGTTCCAGTCACTCTGTGACACCAGGACTGGAACCAGAACTTCAGTATCACCTACACACACACACAAAAACAAAAGTGAAAAATGAAACCATGTGAAAATCAATCAAAGAAAAAAATGAAACCATGTGAAAATCAATCAAGGACAATTCTTTCTTCTTCTTCTTCTTCTTCTCACTATTCTACAGCCGCTGTGAAAAGTACCAGAAATGCACCTTTAAACGGTTACAACAGTCATGGCAGGAGAAGACCTGGTGGTGGAGACTAACGTTAGTCTAATCTGTCTACTCAGAAGTGGATTAATCCAGATTAGATCAACTCTGCAGTCACGTAAAGGTCCAGTGTGTAAGATTTAGTGACATCTACTGCTGGGAATGTGCATTGCAACAATAAAATAATTCTCTTTCTCTGTGAGAGACCTGGTTTTTTTTTTAGGCTTTATCAAAATTCAACCTCCCTAAATGTCACACACTGGACCCTGAACCAGACCACTTTTTAAAATTTGTTTTGGACCAACCCACGTGGGCTGTGACAGCGCTCCTGTTACCCACTGACGCCTGCTCTGAGAGGTACTTCCTGGATCGTAACATAACAACATTTCATTTCTGTATCTATAGGACAAATCAAGGTCCGTTATCACTGACGTGGAGACCGGGTCTTTGAGACAGAGGTTTCATCTGTTGAGTTATTGGCTGGATTGTGCTTATCGTGATTAGCTGTCTGGAGCCCCGCCTCCTCCTCCTGCTCCTCCTCCTCCTCCTCTCTGGATTCACTCTTCTTCATCCTCCTCCAGATTCAGGACTTATTTGATCTGGGCCAACACGTCGTTGAGGACGTTGAGCAGGATCTGAATGTGGTACTCCTTTGCAACCAGCGCTGGACGGAAACGGATGGACTTGTCTCCACATCCTCCCATGAGGGCACCTGTGGAAGAGGACAACGTTGGCAACAACACCTCTGTAGTTTGCATTATTAATTGACCATAAATAATCTAACATGTCCAGTCGTATCAGGTCATATCTGGTTTCAAACCTTTGTCTCTGGCCTTGAGCAGGACTTTGTTCCGCGTTTCATCATCACGGATGTCGATGGCACAGAAGGTTCCCTGCCCTCGAGCCCGACTGAGGATGCTGGGATACCGAGTCTGGGGAACAGATACATGGAGGTGAATGTTGGTGTGAATGGATGTCCTTTTCTGAGGTTCACGTCGCCTCAGTGTGAGACCTCTGTGACGATCACCGTTGCATTAACACTGAGAATTATTTAAAACTCTACCTGCAGATCGTAAAGACCGTTCAGCAGAGCTTTTCCTGAGCGAGCCGTTTCCTCCAGGAGCCTCTCTGTGCGGATCACATTCAGAACCTCACCCAGCAGCAGGGTCTTGGAGGGGTCGCCCATCCACGTGTTGAAGATGCGGTATGCCTGTGAAACAAAGACCACACACACAGCAGGTGGCGCCAGAGTCAATATTACAGCTACATTAAAAGGCCACGAAGAATCTCAAAAAGTCAAACCAGTCCAAGTCAAAATGATGTTGGACCACATGTTTGTACCACAGGTCGCCCCCCGCCCCCTCCTGCCCCAATATAAACAATGAAACACCTTGTCGGCCTGTAGGTCTGTCTTGTGGTAGTAGCCACCGGTCAGCATCTTCTTGCTGAAGGAGACGATGTCAGCGGGGTCGTCCATGCCCCAGTGCTCATGCGCCCAGAACTTCCCCGTGGTGCCCCCACCTGTCTGGACTTCATCCACGTGGAAGGCACAGCCGTGCTGCGGAGACAAAGACGTGAGAGACTGACCTTTAAACTGAAGTTCTATGTAAACAGAGGCTTTTATTTTGACAAGACACATCATCAACAGGGGTTTTATGACTGAGACAGGACCTGGATGTTTTTCAAAATAAAACATAATTTACCCTGAAAACATTTTTTTTTCCTGGGGCCCAATATCAGTGGATCATGTCCCAGTCCTGGTCCACTGCCCTGAGGTTGAAGACCTCTGTTTCAACCATCTTTAACGGATCATTCACCTTTCATGGCAGGTATTTATATGTGTCTGAAAATACAGGTCTCTACTTCCTGTACGTGTGACCACGGAGACTGGTACCTTGCGTGCGATGTTGCGGAGGCTCCTGAAGAAGTTTGCAGAGGCGTGGTTATCTCCACCCTCAGCCTGGATTGGTTCGATTACAATCCCAGCCACGGGCTTTCCCTTCTGTCTCCACTTCACGATCAGATCCTCCGTCTGGGTACGCACACAGACTCTGTTATAGTTTCAGGCTGAGTTGCAGAGATATATAAACCCACAGACAGACATATGCAGCTCACCTCCTCTAGGCAGCGCTCCTCCTCCTGCTGGTTCTCTCTGGTGAACTCCTCCAGTGGATACTGCAGCCTGGGGAACGGAGCGATGGGCCAGTCGAAGGACGGGATGTCCAGCTTGTGAATGGCCTTTGAGTGCGTTGTCGCCAACACACCTGTAGGTGGCGCAGGAGTCGTAACTCACACGTCACCACTCACGCTTAAATGATCCAAACTATTCACTCATCAATAACTGCAGAGTAAGGAGACTAAAAAGTTTCTTATTGTGCTGAAATTACAGCGGTGGATCAGTAGTGCATCTGCCACACCACTGGGGGGCAGCAGTTTGACATGGAAACATACCCAGGGTTCTTCCGTGGAAACCTCCCATGAAAGACATGATGCTGAGGTCTGGACAACCTGGAGACTGAGACAGAAGAAGGACAGAGAGAGAGAGAGAAGGGAGGAACAGGGGAGGGCGGGGGGTGAGAGAGGGAGGAGGGGTGAGAGAGAGATTTCATTAAGATTCCAAAGACAGTGAAGGTCATTCACACACTATTATTCACAGATAAAGATCATTCATTTCCTAAACCTCTGGTTTGGTTACAGCCTGT